CAAAGAAGAAGAAGAAGAAGAAGAAGAAGAAGAAGAACAAGAACCAGAAATATAATAACGGTATAAATGAATACAATAATTAAAAACCCAGCCAAAATAAACCAGCTCTTATTCCAAATGTCTCACCGAACAACAATTATTCATATATAGTCTCCGCAAAAATCGTCGTAAGGAAATCTGCGCCAAAATACATTGCAGAAATAAGCACACGAAGGGCCCCGCATAACATCATTGGACACAATTAATTAGATCTAAAACGCTAAATAGAAACAAAGAAAGAAAAAAGATAAAACAACCCCCCCCCCCTCTAGCTATAAGGTAAAAAGATGCGTCTTTAACACTGCAGAAAATGGCACCATTCCGTAAAAACGCCATACAAAAATCCCCGCCATAATAAAAACTCGGGCATAAAGTAGGGTCTATCACATCACAGGATATCGTACCACTCCGTAAAACCGCCAAAGAAAAAGCGGAAATTCTATTAATGAGCACGTAATGGCGCTGCAACACCACACGGCACTACACCACACCGATAAACCGCCAAACAGAAAATCACCGCCAAAATAGGAATTGGCACATAAAGGGTATTATATATCACACTACACACACGATTCCCAGCCACTCCGTTAAACCGCCAAACGGAAAAAATATCCCGCCAAAATACGAAAGAACACATAAAAGGCCTATCATTGTATCATCACACCATAGAACACTGAGCCGATCCGTTAAACCGCCAAACGGAAAAATCCCCCGCCAAAATACGAAACAGCACATAAAAAGGGCCTATCATTGTATCACCAAACCATAGAACACTGAGCCGATCCGTTAAACCGCCAAAGAGAAAATCCCCCGCCATAAGGCGAACGAGCCGGGGAGGATTAGTGGACTCTCGGCCAGACAGGATAGTGCGCACCGCGACGCACCAGGGGGAAGTGGGAGCGGAACCAGGACAACTCTGGTCACGTGAGCTCACTACTAACGGTTACCTTTTGGAACAGCACATGGGGTACGAGTGTATACGTGTGTA